AAAAAAAAAAAAAAAAAATACCGCACCATACTTAATTCAATATGTTTGCCATTACCAAATATCAAAATCAACAACTTTCACTTTTGTTATTTTATTTTATGTATTTTTTGTTTTTTTCTTTTTTATTGGTTGCAGACAAATCAACACGCAAAGCATAAATACTAACAGATTACAAAATGCAAAGTGATTAATGCATATTAAAAATACTAATTTCACTAATGCGGTATAATGCAAAATAGCAAAAAAAAAAAAAAAAAAAAACAGGAAATTTTTAAAAATTTAATATCAAAGTTCAATTTAATAATTCGCCTTGCGGATGGCTTTGAATTTGGGTCAAGTCAGTCAAGTAGAACACAAGACTCTATTGACCTTAACACGTGGGCGTGGCTTAGCCAAAAAGCCTAACAATATATATGTATATAAATTTATATATATTTATTTATTGTGAATTGTCAACTCCAAAGCTGAATCACATTTATATATATATACGAGCCATACATACATATGTGCGTTGTTTTTGGCAACGGGCAAACAACCTTTTCGTATTTCTTACAATTTGTGTGGCAACAATTGTTTGCAATGAATTTTAATTAGTCTTGCTTCGAGGCTGACAAATTAACATTGAGCACCCGTCAAACACCTGGCAACATATTGATACTGGGCTGTCGCTTCGCCCCCCAGTTCAGTGGGAGCAAAAATATAAAGACGATATATATCGTATAAGATATACATATGTATATGAATCACATACGAAAACACAAATCGAAAACACTTTCTACTTTTCTGCGACTCTGAACTTCAAGCTCCGCGCGCCTGGTCTGACGCATGCGCAGCCAAAACAGCCTGGAACTAGGCCACACATATACACACGCAACCACACACACACATGCATGCCTAGTTAAAGTTCGCTCTCTGTAACTGCTTTCAATTTGAATTTAATTTTTTTTTTTTTTATTTATTTCTACTCACTTTTTGATTTGTTTGGCTTTGCATTAATTAACGATTTATCGGCTACTTTTAAAACTGTTAGGTTTAAAGTGTCTGATATCTCATTTTATTTTTGGGTCTCTTCTCGAATTCCATTCGAAATCTTTGGGTCAGTAGAGCAGCTGTGAGCTGCTTAAATAGCTTCAGCTCAGCTGATTCAATCATTTAAATACAACGAAAAACTCATTTAATCCATTCATTTAACACTAGTCAAACACTTCCGGACACTAAATCGCGTTGATCATTAAAGAAATTGGATGTTGTATTATAATAGCTTTAATTTTTGTTTTCACATTCCTTAACTGCTTGCAAATATAAGCTCCATACGGATCACGTATACTGTTTACAAAACTATATTATCATATTACATTATTATACACCATTAAAAAAATATATTACATCTTCAACATATCTAACTTCTTGAGGATTTAATTGTAAGAATTACGTTTGTATATTATTTTTAAACAGAGATAAAATTTCAAAATAAATTTTGTAAGTGTTATTCTTTTTTATTAGATTAGGGATGAGCTCTGCATAATATTAACAAACATATTCTGTAACTACATGAATAGATGATTATRAAAAGCTAGTTAAATCATGGTTTCTAAAAGCCCTGATAAAATAACATCTAAGCTCCCCTTTTCTATTATCAATCATTTTTTGTAGCAGTCAAGTAAAAATTTTGAAAAATCAGGTAAGTTTTATTACCTTAAGACAATGTCCAATCATTCCCACAGATTCTGTTAAACGCAGAAGATAAATCCACAGGAATACCTACCAACAGCGATTCGATGCTTTCAGAGACGTAACTTTCATAATTATTTTAGGCCTTCCCTATCGGGGTATTTTGCTATTCAAAGGGCTCCATAAGGCTGAACACAAATAATCCTATTTTCTTACATTTCATTGATATTATTAGTTAAAAAAAATGTACAGTTGTGTTTGTAGAGTCTGGATAGTAAAATACAGCAGGTAGCGCGTAGTGGTACCCATCTGATTGTGTTCGACATTTGACTGATCCTCAGAAGATTGAATGGCCCAGAACTATCGTACAGCCTGCATAGGTAGCATAAAAAACTGGTTTCAACAGGTTACTGGAAAAATGTTCAATGAAGACCCAAGCAAGAATTTTACGACTGGTCATTAACAACTTTCGGCGCGCGACTTGAGTACTCAATAATTTGCGAAATCTAACAAATTGACATTACAGCATTAACGTTAACATTAACATAAGCATTAGCAGAAACTGCTCTGGGAACTGTTTAAATATTTGCTAAAGTATTTAACATGAAAGCGAACGCCACAAATTAGCAAAGTTCGAGTTTCGATCGTAGTTCCAGTTCCAAAGCCAAGTGGCACGCAGCTAACGACAAGCCACAGCATTGTGAAGCCCATCAAGGTGTTAACTAAAGCACGAGCTCCAAGTGGTTCCACGGCAATCAATAGGCGTCTCATGTGCAAAGTCTTTCGAAAGGAAAAGTGCCCAGCCAGCCTCCGACTCCGACTCCGACTCAGAGTCGAACTGCGACTCGAACCGAGGTGCCATACGGAGCTCTCTTGTTCCAGAAAATCTCTCATTGTGTAGCGCTCTGAAGTGCCGTTACACTCCACACTCTTTAGATACATACATTTACCAGCTTGTATGTATATACTTCCACATATACATATATGTATATAGTATAGGTGATCGGCAGTGCACTTTCTTTTTTCTACCACATTTCTCGACGGTTTCTGCTTTGTCTGTGGCTTTTGTTGTCTTTCGCTCTTTCCTTCGCTCTTTCTTTAATTAGTTGTTGCCTTTTAGCAATTGTATATGTTTTTACTTCTACTTTTTTATTATTGCCCTGCGATTCGATGTTATATGTGTACTAAGTCGACGTTATTTGCTCGGAAAACGCCATCATAATTACTCATTTTCTACGGAAAACGAATCTGAGAGTAAAAGTCTCATATGATAAGGCTAATTAACGTCTAGACCAAAGAAAGTGTAAGTTATTGTGCTTGCGATTAGTCGAATGGTAGCTAAATGTGCCTTACATATCACTAAATGCATAATTGAGATCTTGGAGAAGAAGCAAAGATAGCGAAAGTGATAGGAAGAGAGGCAGAGTGAGACTAGAAGTATGTAGAAAAACATTTGAAAATGTATGTATGTTTATTTAAATGTTTTTCATTTAAAAAATGATTGCCATTTACAGCTAGATAAAATATTTGTATGAAGGTAGAAATTTCAAAAGTTTCCAAGTTATATATGCAAATCTGCCTCGAAGACAATTAATTTGCTATTTGGAAGTGAAATTTAGTTCATTGGAAAAAATATTAAATTACATAAACCGATTATAATCTAATTTTAAATTAAATTTAAAAACAGTTTTTGACATCAGATGTAAAAATATTTGATAAATACCTAATTCTAAATTCTTGTATACCTAAAATTGTTAAAAATACTAAAATAACAATATAAACAATATAATAATTTAATATTGTAACTAGGTTAAGGAATCAAGGCTTGCGACAGTTTGTTGGTTTAAGCAGGTGAACACTGTAGACAAAGATAGCTGAACTAACCTAACCTAACATAATCTGACCTAGCCTCAGCCCCGACAATATCCTCAATGAACATTAATAGATCATTTATTTCGAAATCAATTTCAACTTGAATCAACCTAAATGCCGCTCAACTATATTTAATCAATTGTAGAAAATATGATACGCTTGGTCTTTTCCAATTCGATCTCGATTTCGATTTTGATTTCCACAACGTTGTCGGCCTTGAACATAATGGGATTTGCTCAAACACAAATTGATTAAAACTCGACCTAAACGAACCGGTTTTTTCGGCAATTTCACTTGAACTTTCATTAACTGTGCAACTCCTTTATGTGTTGGTTCCCCGTCGGGGAAGGGGGAAGTTACAAATATTTTCACATTACATAGTCAACAAAGGCAAACCGGATCATAATGAATCGGGCTACGTTTCGGGTCGGATGGGGTGCGGGGCTAGTTTTATGTAATCATTTTTCGGGTCGTATGTTCAAAATGCAAACTTATGAAAATGGTTGTGTGTGTCCTAGTATGTGTGTTGTGTGTATACGTGTATGTGTTTGGACTATTGGCCAATGTTAGCTATTGAGCTTTGGATTCGCTGTGTGGTATCTTGTCTTGACGCTTTTCGCTTCACTCTTTAATGCCAATTTATATATATCAGTATGTGTGTACTGGCTTTGAGGTTCAGGTGTTGTACTCTGGCAATGGCCAAGTAATTGTAGCTATGCTCCAATTAAACTGCATTTATTTACCTGTCAAAGTTTTTTTTTTCGTTTTTTGAGAATCAAAAGAAACGTTGCTCCCCATGCACAGCCCACCTCGCCTCCAATCACAGTCATTTGTTGATTTTAATTACACTTCGTCTAGGCTGTCATTCATTTTATTTAAATCGCATTTAATAACTCCAACAGCTACGAATATAATCTTGAGTTTATTTGATTTTTTATTCTATAATTTAATTAAAGCTTGATAAAAGCCCCAGTCTGAAAGAAAATCTCTGTTGCCAAGTGGCAAGATTTTAAAATGGGAATAGTCGAAAAATGCTATCCACAAATTAGAAATAATTGAATAAAATTGCTTCTTCAATTGGACACGAAATTGCGCAAATTTCATTATTCTATTGTAATAGCACTTTATATAAAATATTCAAGAAATTGCGAAAAACTCTAGAGAGTACTTTAAATTTTAGCTTGAGTCAAGTTTGAAAATTTTGTATAATTAAAAAATGAATTCATTTTATTGTATACTATTACTATTTTTCTGCAATCGTACAATTTTGTCCTTTTCGACATGGGATGTCGTATACGACGCAGATTGAGACTTCACTGGAGCAAAAAAGTGTCAATGCGCAATAATCAAAGATTCCACCCCATTAAAATGAGGGGAAAGGAAAGTACTCCCCTCCAAAGAGATGCTAGGCACAATTAAACGCAATCAATGATAATAAATATTTGTACGAAACTCACCTTGTCGTTATCGAAACACTCGTTCGTTGAATATCCAAAGGATTGAAGAACTCGTGTAGAACTTTCAATAGATGTTCGTTTGCGAATTGTTGTAAGCCTTTTATTCTCTTTGAGGAACAGATTCAATTGCACTTTTCGTGTTTCGCATATGATGCTTATGATATATACATATACATATATATATATATATATATGTTCCGATATTTGTAACTTAATATTAATAATTATTCAATTACTTGTTCTAGAATACCAGACACACGCACTGACTTGTCCGACATTTTTATAACAACATATACATAGCTTAGTACATATATTTATCCAATCGCATATGGATAGAGCGTTAAAAAATTTCGAACCTCCAACGTTGCGATAGAGCAACTGACCGACCGTTGGCTACGAGACCGTCACACGGACTGACAATCGAAACTGAGCTGTAGTGCCGTATAGCCGACTTACACTAACTATCAGCACGCCATGCACGTGTGTGTATGAGAGTGAGAGCAAGAGAGAGAGAGAGAGCGGACAGCMGCTTAAGCATGAGAGAGCATTGAGTTGATATCTCTCTTTCTCTCTCTTCTACTGCTGCTGCTCACCTGTTGCATGTGTTTCAACTGCTTTCTTTCATTCTCTCTCCCTCCCTCGCTCTCACTCTCTCTCTTTTTCGCTCTTGTATGTTTATTGGTTTTCAGGTGTTGCATTCGAGCACCGGTTTGTGCCGGTTTTACAATTTTTGGGAAAATGCATTTTTCTATACCTGTTTGGTTTTCCTGCTGCTTTTGTTGTTGTTGTGCCTTATGCTCAACTCTGAAGGTCGCATTTTCGCTCATTAATCGCTGCTTCAGCACTTTCATCTGCGCCTGCGCACAGACTTTATTTGCTCTCACACTGATTAACGGTGTCATGTAGGTATCAGAGCGCTCAGGTGTGTGCGTGTGTCTATTCTCATTTGTAAGAGTTTCGTATGAATTATGCACCTGAGCAGCAGCCATAAACGTTTATTGAAGATACTTCGCGAGAATTGTGTAGCTCCTAGTTCTACATTCATATATACATATATACATATGTACATATATACATATATACATATGTATATACATATATACATATATACATATAGTTCTGAAATTCATCCAGAGGAAATTTGAAAATCTGGGATTATCGAGAACTTTTAAAATGATCGAGAATTGTAATCAGAGTTATCTTTAAAATTGATTAAAGATGTACAGAAAATTGATTATGCCTTAGCTGTCCGCTATTCTAAGTTCCAAAAAATGGGAAATCACAAACAAAAAATAGTTTACTTTTCTTTTTTAACTTTTTAACTTTTCTTAATTAAATAATTAGGCAAACAAGATATGTACTTCATAAGCTTAACTATTACGATATTTAAGATACCAACTTAGAATATTTTTCCAACTAATTAAGGAAATGATTAGACCTTCGGCTATCATTAAAACAACATTTGAGCAATGAGTCTGGCGTCTTCATAAAATCTTGAAATTCTTTAAGCTCACAACCAAAAATATCGTTTAAGTCTAATATAATTTAAATATTTAAATGTCAGGAACTAAAGATTTGACAAAAAGACAAGACAAATTTATTAGATCGGTGTGAGAAATATGCTTGAGAATTCAGAAAAATAGAGAAAGAGCTGACGACTAAAGAGCTCACACATACAAAGAGGGGGAAAGAGAAAGAGAGATGCTTAAGCGGAAATTTTAATAAAAATTAAATACAATTTATTTCAAACAGTGAAAATACACACATGTACACACACAGACACACTTAGCTCGTTTGTGTGATAAAAATACGCAGAAGTAATGTGCGACAAGTATTGAAAATATTATACGTACTCGTATATAGACTAACATATATAGACGGCGATCTGCTGGATGGTCTGTTGGACTGTTGATAGCGCAAACAGAACGTCAGATAAGCACGTTCAACTCAGTCGAGGATTGACGGCCCATTCAATTGAGTAGGTGTAGGTGTTGGTGTATCTGTATCTGTATCTGTGAGTACTGCAAACTGCGATGCTTCGAATCGTATAGTTGAATTTAATTCTGTGCAATCAGCGACGTTTTACGACGCTCTATATATATTTATATATTTGTGCACATATACTATGTATATGCACATATGTGTTTGAGGATGAGTAAATATTGTGGCAGCAAGAAAGCATTGATTGGATTTTGAATGAGATTGAATACGATTGGGGCACATCATTAAAAAATACCGCACTACACTAAGCCAAAAATTATAGACCATATGTTAAATTTCCCTATCTTTCGTCCATATTTCAATATCTCTTAATATACGTTTTAATGAGAATCGCAATTTAAATTAATTACAGTCATATACAACTTTTTAGACAATGATCAAATATCTCGTTTTACTTTTCCCAGTGTCTTTCTTTGCGTCAAATTTGATTTAATAAATTTGTATCTACCGTATTCAACTGTGAGTTAGGATTTGGATAGCACGTAACAGGAAAACGAAATTGACCACAATTTTGTATATAAATTAAAACACGTTAGAGTATAGTTATTTGAGAGAGCTTCTATTCATTTATATATATATATATATATGCTGTAAAATAAATACAGTAGAATCCGGTTATAACGACTCCGATTATAGCGTCTGCACGCTTATAGCGACGAAAATTCTGGTCCCCAAACAAAGTTTTATAAGCAAACTTATACGGTTAGAGAACCTTCCGGATATAAAGACAGACATTTGAATGTCGTAATAACCGGATTCTACTGTATTTTATTTTGGGTAAGTTGATATCTATTACTGTGTCTCTATACGTATTGCTTTTTAATAGCATTTACCCACTTTAACTCTGACAAACATAATGTGATCTGTTGCTCTAAGTTTAAAATCTGTTCACAAATTGACGATAAATCTGAATAGTATTTCCTAATACACTAGCAATACTCAGAATTGCAAACACTCTGAAATATATTCCCTGCTCTCTGGTACCACCTGAATCTATATCGCAATTGCAGGCTAATTCACATTCAAAACAGATCAAACTTTTATACACAATGACGGACGGTCCTACTATGCCACATGTTTTATCTTTGGCCCGGAAGCACACAACATTTGAAAGAGTATCTGAAATACGAATAATTTAGTTCATCGATTGTTTGCAATACAATACAGAAGAGTTACCAGTTATTTTCATTTTAGGATCTATGCATTCATCCAGAGTATCGTCCGGCTTACTGTCCCCGATTGGATGTACTTTGCTCCCATCTGCTGTTTTATTTTTGATGAAAACAAGATTTTCCACTGGTTTACAATTTGAAATATAATTAGTGCAATCAAAACACCTGTTTTCTTGTCCACACACATCTGTAAAATGTTGGTTATTTGAAACAAACACTCAGTACGAAGTCAACAGGCATAGGTTTTCAAATATCTATGTAGGGATCGATGTCCAGAATGGGCATATGTAGTTAAGGTAATATTGGTATTATTTGACTAAGAGCTTTATGTCATTGTGAGTTCAACTGAATAATTTTAGGTCTTTTTTTTTCAATAAAAACGAAAAGTATTTTTTAAATATTTCTTAACGTCAGATTTATCAGATATTTATTAAAATAGAAGTCAGCCTAGATATAGTATATATAGTTTAACCATAGTTATCGGAAATTAAAATTACCATTATGCACCCAGAAAAACAAGAAAATACAAACATTTTTATATGTGTTCATTTTTTCAACAAAAAATGTAATCAGAACTCAAATTTAATTTTGACAAATAACATTTAGACTCGTAATAAATACAAGGGCTTGCTGAGTTTTAGCAAGGTAGAGGATATATTGATGTATGTAGATATAGATATAGATATAGATATAGATATAGATATAGATATAGATATAGATATAGATATAGATATAGATATAGATATAGATATAGATATAGATATAGATATAGATATAGATATAGATATAGATATAGATATAGATATAGATATAGATATAGATATAGANTATTATTTGACTAAGAGCTTTATGTCATTGTGAGTTCAACTGAATAATTTTAGGTCTTTTTTTTTCAATAAAAACGAAAAGTATTTTTTAAATATTTCTTAACGTCAGATTTATCAGATATTTATTAAAATAGAAGTCAGCCTAGATATAGTATATATAGTTTAACCATAGTTATCGGAAATTAAAATTACCATTATGCACCCAGAAAAACAAGAAAATACAAACATTTTTATATGTGTTCATTTTTTCAACAAAAAATGTAATCAGAACTCAAATTTAATTTTGACAAATAACATTTAGACTCGTAATAAATACAAGGGCTTGCTGAGTTTTAGCAAGGTAGAGGATATATTGATGTATGTAGATATAGATATAGATATAGATATAGATATAGATATAGATATAGATATAGATATAGATATAGATATAGATATAGATATAGATATAGATATAGATATAGATATAGATTTAGATATAGATATAGATTACTTGAAATACACTTAATCAACAATGTACAAATTTCACATCTCAAGCTCTTAAAGATCAATAACACAATATTCACGCGATCCACACATTTTTAACGGCTCAGATAATTCGAACCTAATGAATACTTTGCTGGTAATAAGGTATTTGAAAATGTATCAATAAATAATCAATGCGCTTATATACAGTACAATTTGAAAACATTCCAAATAAATAACCGATGTAAGATCTTCCCTTACAGCTTTTGAGAATTTAGTTGGATCACATTCACAGGCTGCTGCACATGCCCAGCATACTGCACCCTCATCATTATAGTTGTTTGATATTACGCCACAGGTCTTATCTTTAGTAATGGAACACAGAACACCGTTCAGAACACCTAAACAACAATAAATAATCTTTAGTTTTTTCCATTATAAATACGGAGAATGTCCTTGAGCCAAGCTAATGAATACTTTGCGCATAGACTTACCAGTTAAATTCATACCAGGCCTTATACACTTATCTAACTCCGATTCGGATCCCGAGTCATATACACTCGGTATAGCCTTCCTAGAATCCTTTTGTGGTACTGTGAATTTAAAAAGGTCTTTGGGTGGCCTGCAATTGTGAATTTCAACTACGCAATCAAAACATTTATTATAATGACCATTGACATCTGTAAGGTACAGTTTTCAGTCACTCGCAATATAGTTATTTATGATACTGACGTGTAGAGCTTAACTTACTGATCATCAAACTGAACAGCATATAGCCAAAAATTATATTTAAAAACATATTTGAAGTTTTGGTATTTATTATTTAAATTATCTGGAACAAGGAAAACAATTTTTAATGACAGATAAATTTCTATAATGGCATAAAAACTGTTTTTTTCTTTTTTTTTTTTCATTTTCCATAATTATTACAGTTGATCCTCATATTTGTTGAATTATGAAACTTAACGCTTTAGCTTTTTCCTAAAACTATGTTTTCTTAATATAGACTATTAACCAATTTATGCGAAATTTATATTTTGTATATTTCAGATACAAAATTCATACAGCAAATCATAGGGTCGAGACATATAGAGTTGCCAAATACAGCTTTTTGCATGTATTTGAAGAAATTACATCAAGTATCAATAGATGTATAGTACTTAAAGTAAAAGCGGACTTATAGGCGAACGTTGCTTAGAAGCAGAAACAGAGAATGAATCGTTCCATTTTAGGCGAAACCAGTTACTAATTTCAAAACAATTTAATTTAAATTGTATAGTAACAGATAAAAAATAGAAAAGCGGACAAATTGTATCAATGATTTGCGAACTGCTGAATTTCTTTGTGTCGTACAACGACAATACTTAAAACATTGCTGGCAAGCGATACGATGGAAATGATGTATGTTAACATAATCCTTGCTGGCGACAGTCTGGCATCCAAAATATGGGGCCCAGAAGCAAATGAATGTGTCTACTTCATCTGCAGCATAACCATATAAAGTTCATTAAAATTGGGATTAAATATATTTTTGAATTACCGGTTATTGTATAGCCATCAATAACGCAGCCAGCCAATTTTGTATCCGAATCCGCTATCTCGAATGTGGTTATGGGACGAACTATTTCAGAGTCAAACAACGACATCCTAAAGGGGGCCCAGCCCGTTCTGTTCACTTCACAAGATCCGCTGTATGCGCTGCAGTTGACGCATTCATTGTTCAATATATTTCCAGCCTCTATAATGAGAGATACAGTTATCTTATTTATATAAAATGTTCGATATTACTATAAGTAATAAGTAGAGAGTTCTCCAGTCGAAAGTGCCCGATCCACAGCCCATGCACGTGATTAGGCGTGGCTATGAGTCTGTGTGTGCGTGTGTGTGTGGATGCGCGAGTTTCTAAATATATACATATCGGGCACTTTCGACTAAAGCACTATTACTAATTAAATTAATAATTAATAATCTCCTGACCACTTTCTGTAAGGAAACTAATAATTCCAAACAATAAAATAGGAAAGTAGTTTGCCATTTTAACCATATTGTTCAAAAATATAGCTTCAAGGCATTCTATGTTTCAATGTTTTGGGTAATTCTCAAGAAAAGTATAATTTTTGTTGCGTACAAACCCCTTGTTTTTTGTAATTATCTTGAAAACGCACCAATTAGTGTTAGACCAGGGTTACAAGATTCATTATCAGTCATTATAAAAAAAATTGTTTTAAATTTTTGTTTTATTTGCGATCTGTAATAATATAAGAATATGTAAATTTTATAGGATCGCTTTCTAGGTAGCCGGATAATTTCAGTTTCAGTGAACTCAATCCATATATGTATTTACATTATATCAGTCTGTACTTGGCAAGTCCGGGACTTGGAATCTTTTTAAATGCCGTCGACTAATACAACTATTGTCAAGTAGGCTTTTTGCAAGAATCAATGCATTCCATACGTTTTAATTTATTTTGCAGGCAGCAAAAGTTTCATGTATCCAGCTCTATAGATGGATGATATATAAAGTCGCAAAGTCTCAATACAAAGTCTCAAGCTCTTATACGTTCTGAGATTAATACGTTCTGATACATTCACAGACAGTCAGACATACACGACTTAACAGACTTAGCTTATCGCTTAAGTAGAAATCTATATACTTTATGGGATCTACCACACCTCCTTCTGCCCGTTACATATGTTTTCTGAAAACCTTCATACCCTGATTTAGTATTTAATTTGATTTCGTGAATATACATTATTATATATGTAAATAAAGTATTACATATTTCGGATTTGATATATTTTGGACTTTGGCTCTTTCTCTTCACTTAAAAATTCTCAAAAAATATTGTATTTCAATTCAATCAAACCGACTAGACATCAATTGTTTATTGTCTATCTTACTATGGACAATTAATAGAGCATAATAGCCCGCTATTCTCAACAAACACAGAATTTTATACTTAATATACCATTCCCAAAAAAATCTACATTCAGAAGTAAATATAGAACTAGAGGTCGGCATATCACGTCGATAGCTCACAAACAACTTTTGCTCATTTCGAGCATCCCCTATTTTAAAAGCAACATCAATTAAATAAAAGTTGTCATGTGGAGAGAACGGGAAACCCGCTCAGTACAAAGCTCGACACAGCCGAGCGATAAGGGCGATAAGAGGCTGATTTATTTTTGGTTCGCGTCCGTTGGAAGATACAATGATGCGACCATCAAAATCGGCAAAAATACGGTGCGATAAGAAGTTCATCAGTACTGGGTTCCATGACGATAAGGTAGACGGTTACACGTAGACTGAAGTACTCGCTAAGACTGCTGCAGTTACCATAGATACCCGATTCCGAATTCAGATCCCAATAATCAATTAGTAAGCGCTGATTGTAAATTAGCAAACATTGACAGACAGTCTCGGGCCGCTTATCGCAGGGCGGGCGATCCATGTCAAGGGCTATCAATGCGCCCTCAGCCGGCAACGGCGACGGCAACGGCATCGGCATCGGCATCGTCATTGACTTCGGCATCGGCATCTACATCGACATCGACATTAGCAGCGGCATCAGCATCAGTACTTCTCAGTCTGCGGTCGAGATCGTCGATCGTTGTCATTGAACACGCTCGAAGCACAGACGTCCAGCAACGGTCCAGCTGAGCGGACGGTCGTAGTTCAAGGTATTAGCATTATGTTCCCGCTGCTGAATCATTCGGTCATCGTGGTGTGCCGTTGCTGCCTGGTGGAACAGCCGGAGCACTGCCACAGCATTGGCGACAATGATCAACTGCTTAGCCAGCTGCTCACGCTGTCGCCCACTCTGCAGATCGTGCCCAGCGATGTCATCTGTCAGCTCTGCCTGCATCGACTCCATGACGCCCTCGACTTTCGACAGCGCTGCGAGGAATCGGAGCGCATTCTACGCGCCCGGAACGAGCAGGCCCTGGACGATGCTCTCGAGTGCCTCGAGCGGGAGGTTGGATGCCTGGAGCAAGCTAAATCCATGTCCTTGTCCTCGTCCATGTCCATGCCTATGTCTGTGTCATCGCTGCCGGAGCCGGTTGACTTTGGTGAGTGAGCTGAATAATTGATAAGCACATCAAATTAATTAGCCTAATCATAATCGTGTCAAAAATAGAATTAATGTTGAAAAAACCTTATCAAAGGAAAAATCTGCATTCGTAGGCCCATTATCAAGGCAACATCCGCTTGAGCTAAACGCAATTTATGCTTAAACTTTAATTTTTAGTACGTTAACTAAAGCAAGAAATTGTCTAAGTTACTTTGTAGTTCATATTTGTATACAAACTAAACATTTTAATCAAATCAAATGCGAAAGGCATTGATTGATGCAATCAGTTTATCAGGAGGCTTCAATAAAATCCATTTAGTATATTCCACTGCACAGTTACGTCATTTAAGAGTGAGAAGAAAGAACGAGAGTGAGAGAGAAAGAGAAAGACAGAGAGACCCAAAAAAAACTAATTATAATTAGCTTCGATTAAGAGATTATAAATTTGTTCTTGGACTTTATTCCGTCAAATGCAAAACTAAAAAACTAAACCTTTGTGGGAGACATAACCTTTTATATTTTATTTTTTTATTTATATTATAT